CAAGCCTCCCTCGTCCTGATGTTTGGCTCAGCAACCAGGAACGGTTCCCCCACAGCCCTTAGCCCTGCATTTCTGCAACGAGAAGGTGCACATGACAAACCCCAGTAGCCCAAATCGATGCACACTGCAAGGCTACCGATGGCCAGACAGAACTGGGGTGGGGGGGGCACGAGCAAAAAGGAGGACAACAGAAGGGTGTGGTACAGGGATTTCAGTAGGAAACGGGCATTTACAAGAGAGCAAGCATTCCCACTGAGGAACTACGCACAGCCATGCCAACAGGTGAGAGCGGTCAGCTCAGGGTAGCAGAGAATTAAAAGCTGGCACAGCTTTTTCTCTGAAAAAAGGAGGGTGGGAAGTTCTGGGGGCAGAGCTGTGGCCCTGTCTCTAAGCTCAAGTGCGACTGTGTGTGTGCGCGCATGCTTTTCTTGACTTGATTTTAGAAGCCGAATCCATCCCCTGCAGCTGAATCTACTGTTTCCGTCACCAGGCAGGGAGGACTAGAGGTCAGACAAGGAATCCTGCCTTCTCTGGACCCAGACATGTTCAGGTGGGAGAGAAGTGCCCCTGGGCCAGACCCCTGCCCCCTAACCCAGGACAAAGAGGTCCCAGCAATGAAGGTCTAGGATGGAAGGTTCCTGCTAGGAGCCAGGCTGTCCGCAACACACCAGCCACCCTTTGCCTTCATGGAGTCGTGGCACAGGCAAGTTAACACTGGTCCCTCACCTGGGAACTCCAGCTAACTAATGGAAACAAACACAAATGTCTTGTCCTGACAAACATCTGACCTGACCGTATCGAGTCTCCATGGGGGAATGTCATCCTCACCTGTGAGCAGCCTTCTTCTCACAGTTCTGACGTCAGAGAGAGTACGCAGCTGAAGAGAATCCTGGGAGCCTGCAGCGTACTTGCGCAACAGCAGTGACCTGGTCCAGGGACTTGACTGAGAAGGTTTCGTGTTCACTGGTCCACAACTGGACACCTTTCCCGATCCCCCCTCCCCCCTGACACACACACACCTCCTCAGGCTCTTTGGAGTCTCCCCTAAGCTTGACCCAAGTCAAAAGCTAATTTGCGGTGGCCTAGGAAACTGTTGTGGCTGTAGCCATTGCGTATCTTGGAACGATAGTTGCCAAACTAGGTTTCCAGTAGCCTCAGCTGCCGCCTTAGGGGGGAATGTCCTTATTACTGAGGAATCTCATATATTATGTGTATGTGGTACTCACCTTTCCTGTCCCTGGGTCGCATTGTGAAACAGCCCCTTGGGTCTGGGCACGCAATTTTCCCTTCGTTCATTCAGATGATGAACTTAGCATCTAGACAAAGTGGCAAAATCACCCATATCTGTGTAGTGTCTTCAGACACTGCAGCAGCAAAATGGAAACTGAGGCCCTGAAGTCACCTTCTTCCTTTCCCACCTTCCTTCCCCAAGTCTGGATAACGAATGACATTGGGTGTTCATGCACATCATCAGAAAGTATAGGAGAGACGTACAAAATGTACGTGTACAGATGCCTCCATGAGATCCCCTGCTCTTTCTGCCTTGGAAAGAAGAAAATCAAGTGTACGGCTTTACGTCTGGATTGCTATCTGTAAGACCTGAGACCCAGGGATTCCCAGAGAAGCTCTGGCCTTGGTCCCACCGGCATTCAAACAGCAGGCTTCCTGGAGGAATAGACACCCAGGCTCCTGACTCAGGCGTTGGCAGGGATGGAGGCAGAAACTCCCCCTGAAATCCCAAGGACCAGGCCATGTGAATTCTGATCCTTTCCCAGCATCCAGACTGGTTTGGGTGCTCAGGTGATGGGAAGGCCATCCTAATGAAAACCACGTGGTGGGGGGCGGTACTGTTTAAAACTGCTGGCTCCTTTCTCCGCATTCCCACCTCCTTTCTCTCCTCAGACACACACATGCAATGCTCCCTCCCTCTATTTAAGCAAACAACTCTCGCCATGATTAAGTGCAGCCCCTTCTTATCTAAATACTGCACAGATGTATGAAGACATGGGAGCTTTCTGCTCTTCTGGAGAGCTCGCCCTGACACCGATCTTCCTCAAAGCCCCACAGAGCAGCCTTCCTTGGCCTCTGCTGACAGAAACCCTAATGCCTGCCCCCTAGTAAATCAGCCCTGCTTGGCAGGCCATTCTCCATTTGTCAGGGAAAGGGTTTTCCCTCCGAAAACTTCAGTCGCCCCTTCCCATCTTGGCTTCCCCCACAGCGAGGGTTTGAAGCTGCCCAGATGTGAACAAATGGAACACGAAAAGTCCCACCTCTGTTGGCAACTTCCTGTCTTACTTCAGCTGTCCAGATAACACCGGCAGCCGGTTAGCTCCAACAGCCGCCAGTAGTGGGAACCAGCACGGTGAAGGGACACAGCTTGAAATGCTAATAGGGTGTCCGTGCCAAGGGGGCAGCAAAAGATGGGGCCTTGAGTGCTCCCAGAAGTAGAGGGAAGAGTCTACCCCACAGGGGCAGCCGTTTAGGCCTAGGACTGTAGCTCGAAAGTGGACAGCCTGCCCCCTCTGTGCAAGGCCTGGGGTCGGCCTCCCAGCACTGTAAACAATTTAAAGGAAAAAAAAAAGTAGTAAATGGTGGAAGATTAGCCCCAACTAATTTGGGTTTATAATCAACTCCACTCCAGTTGGGTTTATTCCCAGTTCAATGTCTGGCTCCTATTGTGATTGCAGAGGAGATGGTTCCTTAAGAGAACTTCCCAGACAGGTTGTCCCGCTAGGTGCAAGGCCTCTCGGGAGCCCCTGAGAGTGCCCCTGTCCAAGGAGTGCTTGGCAGACCCAGCTCCCACTATCCCTAGAGGTGTGGAGTACTTAGGTGGTAGCTCAAGCCTTTAATCCCAGCACTCGGGAGGCAGAAGCAAGCGGATCTCTGTGGGTTTGAGACCAACCTGGTCTACAGAGCGAGTTCTAGGACAGCCAGAGCTGTTACACAGAGAAACCCTGTCTTGAAACACTGAGTGAAAGGAAGGAAGGAAGGAAGGGAGGGAAAAGAGAAAGAAATGTTTTGTCTTAGATCCACAGACTCAATCTACACTTGTCGTATGTAGCTGTGCAACTGAATCACAGAACTCTTTGAAGAGCCCAGTGTACCCCATTATAAAGGAAAAAACAAAGCCTCATTCCCTCCCTCTGAACCACTTTATTAACTAATATCAAAGTGACCCACAATACTTCAGGAGGTCTTGCAGCAATGTGTGCGCAAGAGAAAAGAAAATGTCCCAAGTAAGCACCTGCTTCTCATTCCCAAGCCAAGTTCGTGCTATTAGGTTGTGCAAAAATCCAACAAACCAGGGTCTTGAAACAGCCAGTAAACCACTTATAAGTTGTAAATCTAGTGTTATTTGGATTGTCAACCCCATTCAACTATAATATGCCAAGGAGAGATGACCAGATCCTGAAGACTCTGACCCAATGAATAGTTCAATCCATTGATGAATTAAAATTTTGAATGAACTCTTGGGAGGGGAATCGCAGGTGGGACCTAGTAGGAGGAAGTAGGTCACTGGGGAAGTGTCCTTAAGGCCACATCTTCCTTCCCCTGGTTCCTTCTTGTTAAGACTTTTCTGTGTCTCCTGTGTGTTGTGAGCATGCATTTCAGTGAAGAGGTGGCAAACTAACATATGAGACCCCATTACTATCCTTTATAATCAAGATCTCTGGGGGTGGAAGCCAGAAACTGGATGTGGGCGTGCCCCTCTCCGTGACCACCACACATGCTAATGGTGGACTATGTCCCCTTCCCTCCTACAATTGTCACCGGGTGGCTGCCCTCGTTGTTCTTCCTCAGACGCCAACGTGGATTTGCTGGCACATCTGGATCCCACGTGGGAAGGCGATGGAGTCAACCTCACTTGGACCCATCTCTTGCTGCCCTTTGAGAGGGAGGTCTGGAGAGCTCCTTGGTGCGCACTATGCAGACTGAACCCAAGCAAGCCTGTAGTTCTTAGATCACCTGACATGCCTATGCAGGCCCACCCACCCACAACCCTGGGGACCCTGAATCCCCCGGCATCCCCAGAAACAGGAGTTTACTTCTGTGCACCTGTCAGAGCCTTTGTGCTAACTTGTTAGAGAGAGGACATTTTGAAATGTCATGAGACATTATGGGTCATGGCAGTATGGCTTCTGCAGGGTAGAACCAAGCTGAAAGGAAATTCTCTCCTTAACTCACAGAGCCAAGAGGAAGTGACAATGTCATGCTCGGCAGCAATGGCGCATCAAGACTTCACCAGAGTAGACGAGTATCTGAAGATCCTCGTGTGTCCCCTAAGAGACAGTGGTCTTGAGCCTGGGTGGGGAAAGCTCTGATGCACATTTGGAGAAATACTAGCAGTCCTAGTGTGGAGACTTTTTCGCCGGGGGGAGAGGGTGTTACCATGTAATGGAGCCATCGCTACAGTGGAAAAATTCCATAGGCAAGAAGCCCAACCCCAAAATAAACATCCAGGGATCAGCAAAATGTGTCACTCCGGGTACCAAAGCAGGCCCAGTAGGTAACTCAGCTGGGACTCAGGGACTGTGGGTTCTGATTCTAGCCACGCAAGTTATCCAAAGTCTTCGGGGAAGCCCCAGTCATGTCACGTCTTAGATTGTTCATCTGCAAGATCCCGAATGGGACCACAGCACCGGATACAAACCATTTCTTAAGTTCTAGCAGGTCATTTGACCGTGAACACTAAAATGGGCCCCCGGGGGGGGGGGGGCAAAGCCATCTAAAACACGGAGTAGAAAGTTTGGCCGAGCTAAAACCCACACAGCCAGACAGACATTAGGCTGTTACGGAGAGATGGTTAGTGGGGAAGGAGGGCAGGGAATATTCACGGTCCTTCCCGAGGCTCTTCCACCCACCACACCCAGGCACCACGTCAGGGTGATGTGGTAGGACCAGAAGCCATCGCTGGAAGCCATCACTGGAACAGGGGGAGTATGCAGAATGGGGGAGCGTGGATGCTGGACAGGCAGTCAGGTAAATCACAACTCACGTTGTTATTGATTGAGTGATTTTAGTCAAGTGAATACATGGCAGGAAAAGCATGAAAACAAAACACATATGGGAATTACTATTACAAACGTGATAACATCAAAACATCTGGTCAAATGTAGTTTTAAAAAAACAACACAAAAGAAATGGAATGTAAAACATCTTCACAGTATTCAAAGCTTTTTATAAAAGTTTTGGACTCTAAAAGTGGAGTCCCTCACGAAAGAACTAGGGCCAGCAGGAATTCCATCTGTGTGCTGGGGACCTGCGAAGCCAGGTCAGAGCAGCCAGCCTGTCAGCATGGAGATGTAGCCTCAGGTTTGCGTCTGAAACACATCTCGAAACACTTCCGCTATGAAGGCACAACACAGATCATCTAGCTACACGGAGTCTAACAAGGGAGATAGGCTCTCGCTTTGGGAAATGAGATTTCTGTGATTGAAGCCTTCACAGTTAGCCGGAACCCTGCTCGGGCCACGCCCCCGGGAGAACAGAGCGCTAACCAGCCAACCATGAGAGTTGAGTGTGGATATAGAACGTCCTCAAATAGTCTTACAATTCTTGCCTCCAAGCCCTATCTTCTCTACTGGTAGTGCCCAATGGATCCGCAGGTCTGGCCTCCTCCTCCTCTCCAGCATGAGGATTTTAAAGCTCTCCAAGGCTGACCCTTTCCCTGGCAACAATGGTCAGCATGCACATGGACCTCCTCTTTTGGAAGCCGGTGCCAAGGCCAATGAGTCTGCACATTGGTTTGTTGTGCCTTTTGTTGAAAAGAACAAAGGTTGGAGATCATGCAGCTTTGGGTTCATAGCCTCCCTTGCTTGTGCTGAACTGCTGAGCTCCTGCCGACAAAACTGGTGTGTATGCATCTAAAATCCTCACAGGTCCACAATGGAACTCTAACCCAGGGGATTCTGCAGTGGAGGTGCTGGGGTGCGCGCGGGGGGGTGGGGGTGGGGGTGGTGACAGCCGCTGCAGATCACGGGATCAGTTTATTATGAATCCTTTCTGAGAGCATTGCCTCCTACCTGAGGGTTCTAATCTAGAGCTGCCCAGCGCGGCCCCGGCTCGCTTTCTGTGAAAAAACACCCCCTCCCCCATATAAACTCGTGTAGAAAGTCCTCTGTCACTTGGAGAGGGCCCTGCTGCATGACCCACTTTGCCAAAGTGAGCAGCCCTTCAGCGAACCCTGAACTAGCGACTCTAGGCCCAGCTCTACACACTCATGAAATACGCTTGTGTTTCAGTTGGACGATGAGAAAAGTAGACTATTGCTAATTAATAATACGTATATGCATTTTAAAATCATCCAAAAGTATAGGCAAATCATTTAAGGTCCCTAATAACGTTAAGGTTGAAAGAATATTTAAGTGTTAAGATAATGGGATTACTAAACAGGAGGTTAATTAGGTCAGTATCGCACTCAGGTCAGTAACTAGGTTGGCTGGCTGATTTCCAGGCTACAGTCGTTCAGAAGTTACCAGAATTTCCCTGTTTTTGTGTCGATCCAAGGCCATTGGATGGCACAACTCCTCACAATGCTGCAGCAGGAGTGAGCCCCCCAGGGAGACAGACCGCCACTGCGTTCCTTGAGATGTAGTGGGTCAGACTTTGGTGGAAGAAATCAGCGTTCACGTCTTTTTTCTTTAGAGCTACTCTAAAGAAGACAGCAGGAGTTAGGCTGCCGAAGAGAACCGGCTTATTTACATCACTTACTAAGCATACCAACTTTGAGGACTACCTTTGGGCACTTGGGGAAACTGCCAACGGTTAGCTGTTGTCGCCATCTTCTTGGACAGGACACTCATCCTCAGAACGCACGAGTGGGGCGAGGGAGTACAAAAGCAAAAGTGTAGGGATCAGGCAAGCAGCGATTTCGAGTATCTTTTAGCTATACGCAATCGCAATCGTGTTGAAAGAAATGGATCTTCTTGGAGAAAAGCAATCTGGGGAGCGCTGTAGATACTGTCAGCTTCCACTGCTGTGCTGGCTCCAGGGCAGCAGGGAACTACCATCATGATGCCACGCCCACCCCTTCCACAGCACATGTGCAGACAGTTGTTACCTTCCATAGCACGTGCGCAGACAGCATGCTTATTAAGAGGGCAGCCTTAGGCAGTCAGAGATAGATCTTAGTCTTGGCTGTCTTTTCAAACGCTCAGTGTGGATTTTTATCGAAGCCTTGAAGGGTGTGTGAGGTTTTGTCTCTGTTTATGTAGCAGGTGTTCTTTTGAAATAGGACTGATGAAGCCACAGTGTGAGCTCCCCATTCACCCTGACTCGTGACTTGCTGATGTTCTTGTGTTTTTTTTTTCTTTCACTATGTTTTTGAAAACCAGTAACCATTGGCTTCTCAGCCTGAAATACCTCATGTCTCTTCATGCCCACCACGTTCCTCCTCTTACAAAAGCAAGCCTCTGTCACCCTTGTGGCCTCCCATCCTGCCCCTTGTCTATCGCATTCTGTACTGGGATACCCTGGCTACCTTCAGAATGTGTGTGTGTGTGTGTGTGTGTGTGTGTGTGTGTGCATGTATGTGTGTGTGTATGATGGGGTACTGGTGCTCTTGTTTCTATCAATGCAAAAAAGGGGGGATTACTACCAAACTGAAACAACCTGCCTTGCCAATGATCAAATTTTTCTACCTGCAAGGGCTTGGTTTACCCAAAGACTCCACGAGCAATTCCTAATGATGTCCAGAGCAGCATACAGCTTGCATCAGCTGCCCTCACACACTTCTTTCCAAACTGGCAAGTGTGTGTGTGTGTGTGTGTGTGTGTGTGTGTGTGTGTGCCTGAGACTCAGTGAAAGGATTCTGCCCCTCCTTTTGCACAGTGACTGCTGGCCCTACTGCAGCCCTTAAAAAAAAGCCTTCTAGTCTAAAGAGCCCTGGACATAGCTGGATGTGGCTATGTCAAGAGGAGGGAGTGGGGTCGCTGTAGGAATGGAGCCAGCTGCGATGCGAAAGCCACAACTGTAATGGGCAAGGGCAATATGTGAACCCCAAGAGCCAGGGCCGTCCCCTCGCCCCCACCCTCACCCCAGGTCACACACTCCCTCCCCAGTCCACCTCAGTATCATTTAAAAACAGACTGGAAGGTGGGACACTCGTGGTTTTTCATTTTCTTCATGAAGTTTTTGAACTCCTTGTTTTCCTTGTCCCACTTGTGGATGGCCGTCAGCAGGTACTGGCTCTTCACCTTGCGGCCCATGATGAGAAAGTTGTGGCTGAGGTTGTCCAGCTGGTGGCAGGGACAGTCGGCCCCGTTCTTCAGGAACAGCACAAGCCGCTTCAGCTCCTTCTTCTTAATGGGCCCCAGTTTCAGGGGCTTCTTCTTCTTGGGGACAATCTTCTTGTCGCCATTCTCCTTCTTCACTTCTCTGATTTTCATCCTCAGTGCTAGGATGAGGAGGGGGAGGCAGAGAGAGAAGGGGAGGGTGAGGAAGAGAAAGCATTTAGAACACAGCTTTTCACTCGAAACAACAGCCCACCCAGTCCTACAGGAAGGGAACACAGTGACGCTGGTCACCGTACTACGGAGTGTGAGAGCCCCCGAGGGACAGCTGTGGGGCATCCAGAGGGTCTCAAATCAATTTCAGGTTTCATCACGTTAGGCAAAATAATTTAGAATTGGAAAGACAAATATTGTTGCATTTCTCTCATGTACAGAATAGTGTAGGTGTGTGTGTGTGATATGTAGGTGTGTGTGTGATATGTAGGTGTGTGTG